CCACCACCATCCCGGTGCTCCCGGACAATATGGGAGACAAAAAATGTGTAAATGAGGTGTCCTACGGGACTACTAAGAAAAGTGTCGTTGTGAATGGGGAACTTGCATCGCACGCGTTGCAAACGGAGGCTGCCTACGGCAACTATTGTGAACGGTCCGGGCATCGATTACTCGCGATTCTGTGTTCCGTTTTAGCTTTATCTCTTATAATCCGAATTTCAATTTCAGTCTCTCTCTCTCACTCAATGGCACGGCACGATAGGAATAACAACCCGGGTTAAGACTTTCTTGGGCCTACATTACAGCACCCTAATGCTCGGCTGTGCTTTAAGCGAATGGGCGTCAACATGCCGAATCAATTTCAGTTTTTGAGAACGTTCAACACACGTGGTACGACTCCTCTCACACGCAAAAGGTGAACTAAACCACGATCTATTTGCAAGTAAATAGTGCGTATGAAGTCACCAGTACCTCACACTACTGATTAGGCAACGTTACTGAATAAATCCACAAACGGCCCTACAAAAACGTAGTACAATTTAATAAATTTTAAGGAAAAGCTGCTTACGATCATTTAAAAATTGAAGATAACTTTTGTGTCTGCAACTCCTTTTCCATTTTGCACACACACACACACACACACTCAAAAATGCAGGCGCGCGTGCACGTAGAATTTGTTTTTTAAAGTTTTTTATGACGAATTATTTTTTTCCATACATTTTTATGGGCTAAACCAGGCGTGGCCAGAGTGACCTGGGGTTAGAGCCACAAACAAAACGACAAAAGTTCAAAGAGCCGCAGGAAAAAAAGAAAGGGGGGGGGGGGGGAAGGCTACTTTTAAAAAGGAACGATATGGAGGGAACAGCGCTTTCCAAAGGGAACAAGTATAATTGTTGACTACAACAAATAACACAAAGTAGCAGAATGTTACTTTAACCGCTAAGAAAAAATGAATGCTTCGGCTGGTTCGCTAGCCAGCCACTGCCCCTGACGCCCGTTAAACGTATACGGTTCGAAATTATTTCTAGAACAATAAAAGGAAACAGTGTCCCTGGACACATCAATGTGTCAAAGACAGGTCCAGCTGTATATTCGCAGTGCAGTACAAAGCTGTCAAGACTGTGAGCTTTCTTTTTTAAAAAAAATTCTAGGTCTCCTTTTGTCTTTGGAAGACAGGAGGGAAAGGGGGCACGCTCATCCGAAAGCCGCAAACCGCACTTGGACCCGCGATGAGCCGCATGCGGCTCGGGAACCGCAGTTCGGCCACCCCCGGGTTAGGCTCTAAACGGTAGAAATTAAATATCAAGCGAAGAGTCCTGCAGAGCTAAATGACTAAGTTGAGGTCAGACAGTGCCATGTAGCACTGCAGGATTCTCCGAGAGCTATCTGAAAATGCAGGATAGACATGTTTTTGCTAACTTAAACGCCACATTCAAGCAGCCTCACTCGCACAGGCTTCACGCGGTTATTTTAAATGCCATGATAATCGATAAACTGGCGAATGTTATAGGTGTGAATTGACCTGGAATAAAATTCATCTTAACTGCCACCTGACAAGGGTATTAAAAAAGCGGCCATCAAGATTGCCACAGAGAAGCCATAGCTTTTGCACTAAACCTATTTCACTGAGGAGCTATAGCGTTTCAGAAGTCACTGTATTTTGTTCCTTAACAAAGCGTCACATAGAATTTATTATAAAGGTATCACGCTACAAGCTGTCTCGATGAGTCATATATTATAACATTTACATTGCTGTATATTTTCATCATCAGCGATGATGAAAGGAGAAAAGCCGCTTTTCCGCAGCTTTTGTTTTCTCGATAAATAATGAATGACTGGTAATTTGATATCTGGCATTCAAGATACATATTCGAATATTCGAGTTCCGTAAAGTGTCGAGTTGCCGAGTCACCACCCCTACTCCACAACACACTTAAATATTAAATAAAGTCACTGCAACCACCCACGACATTCCACAGCAGTGGCCGCTCACCGATGATATCTCTCACAGCATACTGGCTTGTATAAAAATTCAAAACAAAGATTTTGTTAATGGAGGGCGGAGAGGGCTGCAAACAAACACGAGAAGAAGGTAACACTTCTACACGATTTCCGCTATCGGGTTTCTTTCGAAAAAGTTTGAGTAGAATAAATGACATTGTTTTTAGCATTCGCCGTGCAAAGAGGGTATGATGCAACTTACAATTGTGCCGGAAAGGTGTGAATGAGTATTATAGTTTGTGGCAGGTTAAAAAGCCAGTAGATGCTCCGCCTGGACCGCGAGCCTTCTGCCTTTGATAACACTTCGTCGCACACGCAGCCAAGGCCCGGATGACGGTAACGAACGCGTGCTGGCGGCCGGGCCTCTAACCGGTTCTTAGCCTGCCCGACCATAGTCAACGGAGTCTTCAGGCCAATGCCGTCACATAATAGGTGACGGGCACTAATCACAAAGCAAGGAACGGGGTTTAGACTGACCACGATCATGTCATTTTCTTGCGAGATAATCACGCTGAAAGTATAAAAAAAAACAAAAAAAACACTGCTAACGAAATGTACATGGCACGCATCTCAGCAGTGATCATTGTTCTTTGGTTTTAGCGGGAAGCAATAAAAAAATATCTTTAGGATTAGCGAAGATCAAATTTTGTTCCTTTTAAAATATCGCACCCTAATTACGTTCGGGGCTTTAAAAGACAGGAAACACGCATAAAAAGAAATAAATTAGAATCAACGATTAAACACAGCGATGCACAGCGTGCTTAGCTTGTCAAAGAAATTGGTGTATCTAGCTGATCGCACGTTTGCCTCACTTTCAATGACAAGCAGCCGGCAAAAAGACGACTGGATATGCAGTACAGCAGGTAATATGACCGACTTAATACTAACATTGTCTAGTATGCTTTCAATAATTTATAATAAATCACGAGACTAACTATAAGAATCACTTTTGTAAAATAAATAGCAGTGCTGAAAATTCACTGCTACTGGTCACTGCGGAGATGGCCCGCTAAAGCAAACTCACGCACGCTATGATGACATGTTATCGACGGGCTCCATGCACGGAACTTCAAGGGGCGCAACTAGCTACGCCAGTAGGGTGGTCTATACTTCGATTCACCTTTAAGTCCAGACGCGGCCGACGCTACAAGCTGATGGGACCAATCAGACAGTGTCAAAAGCACACCATCATAGTGTTCGTCGTGTACCTGTACGCGTTCTATTATCGCTGATCCGATCATAAACAAAAAAGGCCCAATGACTAGCTCTTTCGACGCTGATTGACTAACCCCATTAGCTCGTGACGTCGGCTGCATCTAGACTGAAGCTGAAACGAAGTATAGTGTAGACATGTACACGTTACTCAAATAAACTAACTACATACCGTTACACGTTACTCATTCAAAAATTAAGTAAGTACTTCACTCGTCACTGCGATTCAAAAGAAACGCATTACCTCGGCTTGACAGTTACGCGTTATTTTCTTCTTATTCTGAATGTGTCGTTTTGCATGAAGTAGAAGCCGCTTCCAATATCTCTTGTCGTCATCAATATTTTCTCGCTTTTTAACGGGTTCATTCGGAGATAACGGCGGCTATACTGTCGTGCACCTTGTGCACATATTTTATGGCATATCTAGCGTATTCTCGTCGTGCGAATTAGAGGCGCGAGCTGGGGTGAGAATTAGGTTGGGTATATGTGTTGCGCGGCGTTCTCCTTCAGGAGTAACAAAATACCGTTACTCGTTTCTTCATTAAAAGCAACGAAAATACGTTACTCGTTCGTTATATTACACCTTGAAGTAACTAGGTCCTTACTTTGTTACCAAAAAAAAGTAACCGGGTACAAGTAGTGCGTTACTTCTAACGCGTCAAGTAGAAGTCTGTTCTGTTTTACCATTTTTCCTTAATTCAAAACGCCGGTCGTGGCCGTATTGAAGGGGCGATAGAGCGACTTTTGTACTTTCTGTAAATACCACGTATACCTTATTCTTGACGCTGATTAGTTTTCCTCTCCGAGCAATGATAATCGTAGAAAAATATTAAGAGAAAAACGAGCAGCGTTCACCCTCTCAACTCGCTGCCAGAACAAGCTGTCCCGTGATTAGGAGCCAACTATATGCCGCCAATCTTCATCATAGTCATGCGCTAAGGTTGACAAAGCAAGTTGTGTACATATAGCTGAATGTGCTGCGCTGCGAAGTTCTACAGAACAAACGCGTGACCAGAAAATGAAAGGAAAACAATGAGTTGCATTGAGATGAGGAGAAACACAACGTACATGAATGGGCGCAGACTAACAACTGTTTATTCTTTTCTTTTTTTTTCTCCTTTTCCTTGCGTGAGTTTTCCCATGCATGAGTTTGGAAAAAAAATAAAAATCTGGGAAGAAATAATGAAAAAAAGGTCTTGATGAGGATGCGTGGACTTTCGATGTTTGTGATGTTGTTTTCTGTTCTGTTCTATGCGTTCGGTTTCTATGGTGTAAGAGAGGACCTTGAAGCTGGTGCTGGTGTCCTCGTTATGCTGTATAGTGTTTACTGCGTGAACTAGCGAGACTGGAAACGAGCCACCACCCGAGTGCTTGTAGGGGCATCGATTGTCACGACCCCATATTGAGTGCTCAAGTATTGCTCGTGTCCAATCTATGAGCCGCATTAAAATATCATCACCTTGGCCACGCCAAAAACTGCACGGACCACGATTACGTCAAGTTTTGCGAAAGAAAGACTGAAAGAAAAAGTTCGCCTTTACCCTACAAATTACACCGCCGCTACAAAGAATAATCTTGGTCAGAAAGGAAGGTAGCCAAAAGCCAAAGGGAACTTAGGTGGCTTTCCTAAACACAACCTCTTTTCTTAATTTCAGTGGAGCCCTGTTACGGGCGCTCGTAGTAACAGCCGTTACGCGCAAAGCCCGTACGACGGGCTCGGCCTTGGAAGTGAGCAGGCCTGTTGTTGACTGGAATCGCAAAAAATAACAGAACTGAAAGCGACTTACTGGCTGGGTCGCCGGCGTCAGATTCAGTAGCCGCTGTAAGCTCATCCTTGGCACCCTGTGCATCCGGAGGATTAGCGACTGCAACGAGATGAAAGAAGGAACGTTAGACTCCCGGCAATGGCAGAAACGACAGAGCCAGACACTCGCTGGCCTAGTTACAGCTCCGCAACACTGGCAGGGATACGCACACATAAACTGGGCGCAATAGTTTCGCGGGAGGAGACAGCTGTCCCTGCCCTCTGTATGCCCGTTAATTTGGTACCCAGCGTTCGTCATTCGGGTGGCCTCGTTTTCGTTTGGGATTTTTCGTAGATTCCGTTTGAGCTTTCGGGGCAGACGACGCGATCCGCTCTTTTAGCGGCGCAAACATGCGACCAATTCTTTCCTATTTTTTTTTTTTTTTAAGTTTTCCAGCCCGGGGACGCGACCCGGCGGTAGGGATCACAACGCTGTTTGTTCTGATTGAACGGAAACGTCGTGAGGGGTACGTGACGTAAATACCTTACCCCACAGGATCATGAAATAGAGAGAGTGGTAGTCTCTTTGTCCTCAAAACATGGACGGCGTTCTGTATCCCCCCCCCCCAATTAAGTTTCTTTTTTTCTGTCGTAAAAAAAAAAGGGGGGGGGGGAGGGGGTTGGCAACAAAATTTCGAGAGTCAAAGCAAAATCCGGATACCCCTGCGTTACTGAACATATCAGTTTATCCAGAGCGACACGCGTCCCAAAGGCAGACACGCATTTAACCCTCTTCGATGTTATAAGACACCGATGTGATATGAAAAACAACTTAAAAATGTCGTGGTTTTGAATTCTCTTGATGTTGTAGAACGCAAAAAAAAAATATGATAAATAATACAGCTTGTTTCATAGGCATATATTGCCCTTCAAAATCTAAATAAATAGCTTAAAGGACACGTTTCATTGCTCTGCTGCAAGCTAATGTTTTTCATTTCCTGCTACGTGTACGTATGGTACTACGATATACGCGAATCCTCTCTTCCGCCAGAATAATTTCTTCTCGTCCTCCTCCTTTTACTACTCTACTTATCCGCAATCCAGCAATTACAAGCATTTAAGGGCTAACTGTGAGAGTACTATAGGTACCATACCACGAAATATTGCCACGAATGATATATAGGCAGAGAGACGGTGAATACACTAAAAAAACAAAGCGTTTAATAGGGCGAACTTGTGTCCAAAACAAAACCAGAGGTACAGGCGTCGCGGGCGTCAAAAGTGGCGTGACAGTTGGATCAAGCGCTGGTGAAAGACTACCCCTTTGCACGGCGCGGAACAGCTTCTCTTAAGGCTTCCCTGGATGCTTATAGTCATTTACAGATTAAGAAAAGTTTTCGAGGGAATGGAGGGCAGGGGAGGAGGAAGCGAGCGGAATGCTGAGAGGAGAGGTTAAAACCTACCCCTCTCTTCAGCATTCCGTCTGCTTCCTCCTCCCCAACCAGAAAACTTTTCTTAACCTGTCACTGACTATAGAACATTCGACCTCAATGGTTCTGGAACTATACATTATGAGTATGAACAAACTACAAGATTGTCAAACATTCTGAAATCTTCTATTAACTTAGGAAAAGATAAAAACCACAGATGAAGCTAGGGATCAAACCCCGGCCACCTGCGTGGGAGCCAAGCAGTGGCGTCCCTAGGGTGAGTGGCACCTGGGGCGGTGGCCCTCCGTGACACCCCCCCCCCCCCCCCCCCCCTTGTGACGCCACTGGAGCCAAGCACGTTGCCGACCGAACTATACCGACATTTTTAATCTTTTTTTTTTTTTTTTTTTTTTTTTACTGTAGCTAAGTTAGTTTGGCTACGCAGGTGTCAATATGATATAGGTCGGAGAGTAACTGTCTCACGATTTGAGCGCGAGACATTGCGGAGGAGAACATCACAGCATAGCAAGGGAAACGCGTGTTCGTTCCATGTGTAGGTACTCATCTGGGTCTTTGCTATAATCCGTTGCAACTCAGGAAGGTAGGGCGAGGGTAAGACGGACCGGGGAGGGGGAAGCAGGCAGAACGTTGGAAAAGAGAGAGGGAAACCTCATTCTCTCATCAGCGCTCCGTCTGCTTCCTCCTCCCCTTCCCGTCTAAGCCTCGCCATACCGTCTTGAGTTGCAACGGATTATAGGTGTCTCCATTTTTCATATTACTTATTCTCCTGATATGTTTAATATCGCAGATGACTGTATTTGAATCCTATCTAAATGCGTATTTGTGGGCGTAAACTTAGCAATTCGCGAGCGTTTTTGTTTTAGATGTAACCTGTAACATACCCTTACAAAAATATTTATCCACTTTCTACATAATTCCTATAAAAATAATGTATAGAGGCTACAGATATACCAAAAAAGATGTATCCACATTTCTATCCACTGTCTAGATTTTCCCGTTTTTTTTGTAGTCTTTCCATAGAACTTAGTGTATAGAAATTGAATAGAAACAAAGATTCTACAGCGGTTCTATCCCCTTTCTGAAACAGTCTAATAAGTTCTAGAATAGACAAATAAATTCTGAATATTAATTTTAGGCTGGTCACAACGCATCCGTAAAAAAATATGCAATAGACACAGGCTGTGTGCACATACGCAAACACTACAAATATACTCGCCACACTCATAATACTAGTAATTCAGTTGTGTTGACTGCTCCGCCGCTATATATATATCCTACATTTGAAAGGCAACAATTTGAACGAGGATCATCCCAGAAGATACAAATATTACAAGTATGTTGATTTGTTTCCACCAATTATTTATACGAAATGTGGTTCATAGGGGCTGGTAGACTGCATCTCCAACTCTAAAGCATTTCAAGAGGCGATAATTATTTGACAGGGTAGAAAAAAGCAGCCTTCGCAGGGATGCTCCAACTGGGTGTGATTATGTGATATCGCTTCTCCGCACAGCATCTTATTATTCTACCCAAGCTATGGTGACAGAAAGTGTATTCAAACGTGGCGACAAAAATTATATAGCATTTTTACCGTCTTCGGTTGAAAGAACGTCTTTAGAAAGTCTATTGAAAAATGTCGATACGACGTAACTGGACAGGAAGTTGAAAGAGTCGTTAAAATGTCGACAGGATCTCTATAGCCTACCTGAAATGTTTTTGTAAGGATAAGGCGTGAGAGATTGGAGTCCTCTCTATATTGATGGCGGTACATTTATAAGAAAAAGGCTCTTGCGCTAAAGGGCTACATTTTCGCCATAACAATTAATGCCGGCCACTGAGGACATTAAGGGACCATAGTGCAGCTCGCTAATTAAAAAACAAACGAAATAAAAATTCACAATAAATAACGTTTTAGATATTGATGTTATCAGGCACAACTCGAATGAAGGTCGCATTCGTTAACACAGGTCATAGAAGTGATCAGACTTCAAGATCAGTAAGTTCTGCTTCATGCGAATTGGTGGAGCGCACTGAAAACCGCAAAGTTACGTCAGGCTGAGACATGCGTCACTGCTGCCAGCACATAGCTACCTCTGATGTCCCTTCGGCGCCCTTTTCCGTCTTACATGCAGCATGGCAGACCCTTAATTGACAGCCTAAATTCAATACTGGACAGAGCAACGCACAATGGAGTTTTCGGAAACCCAACTGCACAGGTCTATTTTGAGAACGGGCTGAAAATAGTCACCGGAAAGTAAAAAAAAAAAAAAAAACGAAAACAATAATAATAATAATAATAATAATATATATATATCGGAAAGATTTGTTTTAGATATTACGTAACTAGTTTGCTAATTGTCATGTACTCGCGCGCTGTCTTTTGCCGCGACCCGTAACGTTATCACAATGAAATATATATATATATATTTTTTCGTTTCAAGATTCCTATTTTTATTACACAGCGTAGAGTAGCAAAGCAAAACAAAATAACAAAAATAACAATAGAAAGCAAAACTGTGTATATCACATTGAGTATACACTCTAAGAAAAAAAGGAGCGCGACTTAGTCCCTCGGGGGACCAAATGCGCTGCCACCACCATTAGTCCCCTAGGGGAGCAACTGTAACGGGAGTAACTGTTGCGCCCCGTCAGTTAGTCCCTCGCACTAGCACCGTTGGGACGAACTGTTACACCGTTTCAAATGCACCTCGAGGACTAACTGTTAGGCCCTTGCACTTGGTCCCCTGGGACCAACTGTTACACCGTTTCAATTGAACCCCAAGGACCAACTGTTAGGCCCCTGCACTTGGACCCCTGGGACTAACTGTTACACCGTTTCAAATGAACCCGAGGACCAACTGTTAGGCCCTTGCACTTAGACCCCTGGGTCTAAACGTTGCGCCCTTGGATTTAGACCTCTGGGACTAAAGTTTTATCCTTTACATTTGGTCCCGAGCCACAAATCTCCGAAACAAAATTGTGGAGTTCCGGTTAAACGTAGCTTTATTGCCTCGTAGATACACATCGCATTCAAGGATGACTGAAGTCGAAGTTCCTGGGCGGTAGAATCCACGATAATGCCAAATTCCGAAGAGTGCACTTGCGTCGACGATGGCTTGGACACTGGGACGTCTGTCCAAGCCGGTCGTGGTCCCAGCACCGTTTATTGGGGCACCGGCAGCTTCTTGCCTGTTTGCTAGGAATTTGGATTATTAGTAACAGGGCAGCGTAAATACTCAATCGCTTGACAAATATATGATATATAAGTTGTAACACATGCATAATAAATTAACAAATAGGCTGCGTAAGTGATACAATGGTTCACATCCAACATGCAATCTGTTGACAGCAGACCAGCGCAATATTAGATTTTCGTAGACCGTTCGCTGCGAATTACAGACCCAGCGCGTGCGTGCTCGAACTATGCTTCAAAGTGACGGCACGATCTCCCGCCATCAACGCGAAAGTCTAGTGTACAATCGAATACATATCTCCATTAATGCCGGTTCTCACACGCAGCGAAGCGCTGATGTAGCGCTGCTCACGTGTCATTTAGCTGCTCACGTGTTCTATTAGCCTATTCGCTGATGACTGTGTAATTTATAAGGAAATCATTAACGACTCTGACATATCTGCTCTTCAGACCGATATTAACAACGTCACCCGCTGG